CTTCCATGATGTAGATCCCTAATAATGCCATTGTATTGTATTTCATTCTTCGAGACATGATCCATAATAGAGTTAGGCGTTTGCAATTTACTTACCTTGTTCATAGAGACCATCAAGTCATTGATCTTCTTCACATTCTTAAGCTTTCTCAGAAAATACCTTCATAAAAAAAAAAAATAAAAAAAAAAAATAACTGAGAAAAATGAACTTTTGCCTCCAAAAAAAAAGTCATGTGCATATTTCCTTTTCTGGAAATGTAGGAAATTATTCCTAGATGCAATATTAAAGTAAACACAGAAAGAAAATTCCGGTGTAACGCCTAATTGAAAAATAACAAAAACGATTGCTCTACCCCGGAAAAAAGCTTAAGCTTAGAAATGAGCTGTAATTATTTATATATATATATATATATATAGGATTCAACATTAATAAGCTGAAGTAAATCTAAAGAATGAAAGATGTCCAGAAAAGGTCAAAAATAAAATCACAGAGGTGGTTGGGACAAAGGAATTCCTGCCTTACCTAACAGTTTTCCACTTTCTTTCACTCTCTGTACTTCAAATTTATGCCTAATCCCTACATATAATACAAAATGACTTAATAAACGCTTCATCTACATTTATAGATAAGCAACTACAATATGTTTCATCAAACAAAACTTAACGTTTCACACCNATTTTCTTTCACTCTCTGTACTTCAAATTTATGCCTAATCCCTACATATAATACAAAATGACTCAATACAAGCTTCATCTACATTTATAGATAAGCAACAACAATATGTTTCATCAAACAAAACTTAACGTTTCACCCCATTTATTTATAGTTGATGATGCACTTGACTACTTTCTAAGCATAGCATAATATAATCTAATCTAATAACTTCTTTTTACCTCCTGTTTCTGAATAACAGATTAGCAAAGGCCCTAGAATCCCATTTCACATCTTCAAATAGTTAAAAGCATTCATTCTAACTTTATCACATTGTTATGCTGCAAGACACAAATTCCTTTCCAACT